CATAACAACAGGCTAAGAGACTCCCTTCAGCAAGCTAAGGGAGTGTCATTGATGACACAACAACAGACTGAGAGACTCCAATTAGCAGCCAAGGGAGCTCCATTAGTCACGCAAAAATAGTTTGGGAAACTCCAAGGTGGGTAACAACAACGTAAAAAGAAGGATGATGTACTCATAATTGTCATTTGACCTCGCGAACATTTCTTGCTCCCGCAGCTGCCTACCACTGTCGACCACCGCTAGCTGCCCCTTTGTTCGCCGACGTCGATAAATCATACGATATAATAACGCATCACAAGTACGAAGTAACTTCTTTTAATAATTACTCAAAATTGATGTACTCAAAATACATTGACTTTCTCTGAACTCCTGAAGTTCTCTTCTCATAGCTCTCCTCTATGGCCTACGATCTACGCGTTTCACTGCAACTATAACCCCTTACTAAGGTCTTGGTAGACAACTATATCTTACGTGGCCAATTGATTCATACGTGATTCACAACTCACATAGCTTCCAACTCCAACTTTTGTGATCTACGGGCATTATTACGACCCATCAGTACGACCTATGTAACCAACTACTACCTATGTTGTCTATAACTCATGCAACACACAACTCCAGTCTCTATGACCTACATATATTATTACAACTCATCACTATGACCTATGTGACTAACTACAACTTACATGACTCATAATTCATCCAGCTCCCAACTCTGGCATTTATGGCTTACAAATGTTATTGTGGCTCACCACTACGACCAACATGACCAACTATGACCTACTTGGTCAACAACTCATGCAGCTCCCAACTTCACTCTATATGAATTACGGACGTTATTGCGGAGCACTATTACAGTCTGCATAACTCACAACTTATGCAAGTCTCAACACTCTGCCCTATGCGTCCTATGAAGGTTATTTCAATCTGCATCTACAACTTATGCAACCAACTACAGTCTACTTGGTCTACAGCTAATGCAGCTCCCAACTCAGGCTTCTGTGAGCATTATTGCAGCTCACCTCTACGAACTTCGTGATCAACTACGACTTACATGACTCACAACTCACACAACTCCCAACTTAAACTTCTATGACCTAGGAGCATTATTGTAACTCAACTATGGGCTAAGCAACCAACTATGAGCTATGTGGTAGTGATACACAACTCTTGTAACTCCAAACTTCAGCCTATATGACCTACAAACATTAATTCAGCTCACAACTGTGACCTACACAATCAATTATAACATACATGGTCCACAACTCATGCAACACCCAACTCTAACATTTATGACATACAAACATTATTGCAGTTCACCACTACCGCTTACGTGCCCAATTATGACCCATGTGATCCACAAGTCATGCAGCTCCTAACTCCAGCATCTATGGTTTATGAATGTTATTATAACTTACCACTACAGCCTATGTGACCAATGATGGCCTACGTGGTTCACAGCTTTTGCAGCTCTCTAATATGACCTCTATAGCCAACTGACGCTTTTAAAGTAATTATCTACGACCTACATGAACAACAACCACGACAACTTTCAACTGCGACCTCTACGACAAGTTGACATTAAAATTACCTTCTATAACATTTAGATTGAATTACTGACTTCATAACAATCGACCACAACCATTGCAGTCTATTACAACTATCAATATTAAACTACGATTGTACATTAACCTTGTAATTTCATCCTCTAATTCAAAAGGGTAGTGGTCTCATATACTTATAATTACATAATATATTATTTCAACAAGGTTGTGCTTGTGATTTTTTCCTTTTTCAAGATTTTCCACGTAAAAAATCACAGTATCTCCTCCCTCTGCTTTTCTTTTATCTCTATGGCTGTCGAATCTTCTTCAAACACTAAGACGCTAAATTATTATTCTGCAGCCGCAAATCTTCTATCATCCATCTCATATTATAAACTCCAATCTGATAAACTTTATGGCGGTCAAAAAAACTAAAATATAAAAAAAAATTTCTTCAAGCGAAAGTAAACTCATCTTTTATTTTTCAATTGTATTGTGAATTATTTTAGCATAATTTCATTTTGTCAATTATTAGAAGTTAGAAAGTGATAGTTTGAATTAACTATCAATTGATTACATCAAATTTTTTTAGCAAAATAGATAATACTTCTAAAATTTTTCCTAAACATTAACAAAATAAAATAAACAATACATATATAAATAACACATCACCAAGTAATATGATGTAAACTCCTTTTTACATCATTTTTTATATTTTATTTGATAACATTTTAGACATTAAATTCTTAAAAATACTTTCATAATACAATTTGTTATCATATAATAATTCTTAACCACTTAGAACTTGCTTCTATTCGCATGAAATCATTTCCATCATGAAATCTTCCGAGTCAACAGTTGCAAGACAACTTAGGCATTTACATACATAGAACACAATTCTAAACTGACATTTCTTCTTATTAAGCGTTATGCGTAAATATGAAAGTTAAGGCGTGAGACATCTAAATACATAATAATTGTCAGCTATACATCTAAATTTTATTTTTGGGGCATTCACACACATACCACCTAATTCCTATCTATTTACATATCTAACACCCAAACTTCACTTTTTACATTTATACCGCCCGAATCTCTCATTTCACATAAAAAAGATACCACCGACATCTCAACTTATAAGACATAAAATACACATTTTTATGCATAAATAAAATAACATAAAGAATAAAACTTAGGACTTAAACATATAAAAACATAAATCTTCCATTATTTTATTTCTCTTAAACATTTTCCCACCTCTTTATTCCTCATAGAAATCTGCTCTACAACCATAAAAAAAAAACTGAAAACAAGACAAGTTCTAAATTCACAGAAAATGTTTACCAGTGAAGACCGAAGCTGGACGACTGTATGAGCGGATGAGCATAATAAGCTCCAAGCGTCAGAATCGTCACTGCTACATAAGGCAGTCTGAGGAATTCCTTATAGTAGTCTTTCGGCAATCTCTGCCTCCCGTCCAGAATAGCAGCAAAAGGAACTACGCTTGTTCTGCTCCTCACCGCATCAAATGCGGCGCCGTAACGAGCGCTGAGCCTCCTATCACCATTCCATGCGCCAAACAAGTGGTGGCCAATCAGCCCAATGGAAGCAGCGACTGCTACAGAATTGCCTATCCAGATAGTATGGGCTAAGCACCATATCACTTGTCCCACCATCTTAGCACAGGGAATGCAGAGCAGGATTAGTAAATTAGAAATATTATAAATCAATCCAATTGGAGTTGGAGGATAAATCATTGTCATGTTTAAGGTAAAAAGAATTCATGAAACAAAGGGGAGGGGGGATTTTTAAGTAGTAACCATCCAAAATTTTAAATATAACGGATTGAGTGCCGAAACTTGAAACTTAAATTTTGCGTTTCGACCGCCCAGAAATACCCAAAACTTTAAGTGCAACGGATTGACTACTTTTGTTTCAAAACAATATATATATATATATAGGTGTTTATATACATATACCCAATTCTTATGCATTTACATATCTGACACCTAAACTTTATTATTTGACATTTATACTGCCCAATTCTTTTATGTCACGTCAAAAATACCACCATTTTAAGTTTAAAAAATGATATGAACCTGTTCATGCGTAGATATGTTGGTATGTAGGTAAAAATTGAAGTTAGGTTGTTAGATATGTAAACCATAAGCATTGAGGGGTATATATGTAAATCTTCCTTTTTTTGGGGGTATTTACCTACATTCCCTCAATTCGAATATATTAACATATCTAAGGCCTAAATTTTACTATTCACATTACATAAAAAATACCATCATTTTTACTTTTAAAATGTGAAAAAGATCTTTTTCATACATAGATAAGGTATGCATGTAAAAATTGAAGTATAGGTGTTCGATGAGTGAATGCATAAGAATTGAGCGGTATGTGTAAATTTTATTCTTTTTAACATTTTACCTGGGGATGACGGGTGATTCTAATGATTCCAGTTTCCCAGAGATGCATTTTGGGCATGTCAACAGCAGCAACTTCTAGCAGATTAAAGGTTGATGGGTAGAGAAAAAAGAAAGAGATGAAGGATGAGAACCACACAAGCTCATGAACCCCAGGGACGCTCTGAACTTGCCACAGTTGAGTTCCATCATATCTGTGATTGATGAAATATACCTAAAGTAAAGTAGAAAATGTTGAAGTTTGGAAATGTATAAGGAATTTAGAGGGTAGGACCAATCAATTTTATAAGATTTACATACATAACTTCATTTTTTACATACATACGAACTTAAATAAGCATGAAAAAATGTTTTCCACTTCTCACAGTTAACATGGTCGTATTTTTGCTGTGAAATGAAAGACTTTGATGGTATAAATGTAAAAATACATAAATAAAGTTTAGGGGCTGGATATATAAATACATAGGAATTGGGCGGTACGT